TCCACCTGCTAGGTTTAAGAGATTCTTCTGCCTCAGCCCCCCCGAGTAGCTGGGATTACAGGCATGAGTCACCGTGCCTGGTTAATTTTTTGCATTTTTAGTGGAGACAGGGTTTCACCATGTTGGGCAGGCTGGTCTCGAACTCCTGACCTCAGGTGATCTGCCTGCCTCAGCCTCCCGAAGTGCTGGGATTATAGGCATGAGTCACCGCCCCCGGCTGAGAAGTATTTTTTTAAATAACACTTTTTTTTTTTCCCTAGCTCCATCATCTGTTTGCTTTGGCCATCACAACACCCACACTCTTTTAAAGAAGGTCTCCAAGGCTAGAAAGTTCTCCCACTCTAATTTGGGTAAAATATGAATATGTTTGCAACACACTGAGGCGTGCCGTCTTCCTCATGTCCACCCATGGACTCCATGGAAATCGGAGGGCTCCATCTTTGGGAGATTTGCTTTCGTAGTGCTGGCTGCATCCTTAGCACTCTGTGGTTCCCCAATACAAGTGCTGGAATCTCTCAGGCTCAGTATTACTAAATGAGTAGCCAGCTGCATCATGCAGGGACCCAGCAGGAACCAGATGGCACATTCAAACAAGGACAAGTCAGGAGGATTTATAAAGGGACGATTCACAAAGGGGTGGTGAGGGGAAGGCAGACCACAAAGGATAATGCAATTACACGAGCTGGTGAGGCAGAGCTGTTACCCATGCTAGGCCCAGAGAAGACAGCCAGGGCAGTGAGTGGTTCCCAGACACCCAAGGCAGAGACTTGTGTGCAAAGAGCTGCCCTGAGACGGGTGTGAGTTTGGTTGAGAGGTGCAGCCGGTTTGAGACATATCTACAGGGAGGAGTCAGGAGAATAAATACTCTCATCTCACTTTCTTCCTCCCCTCTAATTTTCCAAACCTCTTTCTTAGCCAAATACCACTGGAAGCCAAAGGCCAAGGGAGCCCATTGAGGCCAGCCTCCTGGGGCAGGGTGGAAAAGAGTGGGAAGTGGATCTGGAGGGGCAAATGGAAGTTTTCTGGCACATTAAATAAATAAAAAGTGACATGACCAGTGATACAAACCAAGGATTAGAGTTTGTCCAATTGCTTGCAACTGGGGTCCTTTAAAAAAATCGGCAGGTGCAGTGGCTCAGGCCTGGAATCCCAGCACTTTAGAAAAATCGGCCGGGCGCAGTGGCTGACGTCTGGAATCCCAGCACTGTGGGAGGCTGAGGTGGGCGGATCACGAGGTCAGGAGATCGAGACCATCCTAGCCAACATGGTGAAACCCTATCTTTACTAAAAATACAAAATTAGCCAGGTGTGGTGGCGCATGCTTGTAATCCCAGCTACTCAGGAGGCTGAGACAGGAGAATCACTTGAACCCGGGAGGCAGAGGCTACAGTGAGCCGAGACTGCTCCATTGCACTCCAGCCTGGCAACAGAGCGAGACTCTGTCTCAAAAAGAGAGAGAGAGAGAGAGAGAGAGAGAGAGAGAGAGAGAGAGAGAAGGGAGGGAGGGAGGGAGGAAGAAAGGAAGGAAGAAAGGAGGGAGGGGGGGAGGGAGGGAGGGAAAGAAAAGAAAAGAAAAGAAAGAAAGAAAGAATCAATTGAAATTGATCCCTAACTTAAATGCCTCCAGAAAAACCTTCAGCTTTTGTTTTATGACTGGATTTCCAAAATCTAAGTTACTGTTACTCATGTTTACAGACCAGTCTCTGACATGATTTATCTGTGATTCTGAATATTCTCCTGTCTGAATATTCTGGCATGTGGCAATTGGGGATGGCCCCTACTTCCCACCCACTGAGGAGGAACCACGTGCCCCACCTGGCTGAATGGGAGCTCTTACGCAGACCACCATTCTGGCCCACCGGAGAACGCTGGTAGCAGCAGGCTTTGTGAGTCCTTCCCTTGCCAGTACGCTGTCCTATGGGTCCTTGTCCTGTGGGAGAAGCAGGGAAAGGGGACAGAATTTTCTGGGGGAACCATGGCTGAGGACTGGAGGCAGAAAGCACCTTCTCTATGTAACTTTCCACATACTGAGAGAAACCTAGAAAATCATCCTTTTTTTTTTTTTTTTTGGAGACGGAATTTTGTCTCGTTGACCCGGCTGAACTGCAGTGGCACCATCTCGGCTCACTGCAACCTCCGCCTCCCAGGTTCAAGTGATTCTCCTGCCTCAGACTCCCAAGTAGCTGGGATTACAGGCACTTGCCACCACACCCAGCTAATTTTTGTGTTTTTAGCAGAGAAGGGGTTTCATCATATTGACCAGGCTGGTCTCGAACTCCTGACCTGAGGTGATCCACCCACCTCAGCCTCCGAAAGTGCTGGGATTATAGGCGTGAGCCACCGCGCCCAGCGGGAAATCACCTTTGGATCCTTGTGACAGAAAACACTAGGAAGGAAAGCCCACAGCCTTCTAAAGTCACAGTCACAGGCAGGCTGGGGCTCCATTTGCCATCCTCCCGGGCTGGCTCCTAAGAACAGAAAGAGTGGCCAGCTACATGATGTGACTTGAGGGGCTTCAAAAGGCCTGCTGAACCCCAAACGATCTTCCCCACTGGCCTGAGATTCTGTCTGAAGTTTCCATCATTTGAGTCATTTCTTTGTGCTAAGAATTTCCTTCCAGAAGTTGCCTGCTAAAATGTACATGCTGGCCGGGCGCGGTGGCTCACGCCTGTAATCCCAACACTTTGGGAGGCCATGGTGGGCGGATCACCCTGAGGCCAGGAGTTCAAGACCAGCCTGGCCAACATGGTGAAACCCCATCTCTACTAAAAATACAAAAATTAACTGGGAGTGGTGGCAGGCTCCTGTAATCCCAGCTATTCAGGGGGCTGAGGCAGGAGAATCACATGAACCTGGGAGGCAGAGGTTGTAGTGAGCAGAGATTGTGCCACTGCACTCCAGCCTGGGTGACAAAGCGAGACTCAGGCTAACAAATAAATAAATGAATAAAATGTACATGCAGCCATAGAAGGATATGGGACTTACTTTTCATTCATTTTGTTTGCTCAACATCTTACTTCCCTTCTTAGGTTTCAAGAACTCTGCCCCCTCATGAGAATTTGGAGGATGCGGAGCCTATCTTTTGCCATAGACACCTCGCCAAGAGGTACAGCATGGCTGTGCCAGTCCTTCTTGTACTCAAGGCAGGGGCACATGTCCCAGGGTCAGGAGCTGGTGACACAGCAGAATTTAGGGAGCGTTTATTTCAGCAGCAGGTGGCAGGGGTGGCTGCAGCCATGCTCCCACAGTTACTGCTTATGGCATGATTTGGGCTGCAGTCAGGAGTTTGAGACAAGCTGGTCCCGATTGCTACACGGCATCTTCTGTTCCTGCCTATTTTCCAAGCCTGTTCCTCAGCCTTCCCGAGAGTCCAGAGCTTACCAATATTCTCTTACTAAATGCGTAAGCTGCTTAAATCAGACAGAACCGTCTTCAGTTGCATGAGACTAAGAACACTGATTGATACAAGAGGTGACACATTGACTCAAGAGAAGCGGTCAGTGCACCAGCCACAGGTAAGTGCATTTGTCTAATTTAACTAGTTGTCACATTAGGAGACAGCAGGACCCCAGGGAAGGTTTTTGTTGATGGGGAGAGGAAATAAGAAGAGTCTGGTCTGATGTTGCGTTGGCTGATGGGACTTGCCCGGAAGGCTTCAAGGTAACCTGAGAGGCATCCCCAGCACGAGGCTGGGCGCAGTGCAGGAGGGAAAGGTGGGGTCATAATAAGGGTAAAGCCTAACAGGACCTGCCACTGATGCTGTTGAATGTGGGGCCTGAGATGGCCTTGTTCAAACCTCCATAGAGCATCCAAGGGAAGTTTCTGCTTTGTCAAAGACAGACCACTGATTTTATCTCTTTGATTTGCCTAAACATTTCTGCTGACAGTCTGCATGGTAATAGCAGTTTGTGGGATTTCCAGCCTCTCTCCCTCCCCATCCCTCCCCCGTTACGTTTAATTCCTTTATGATTTAGTAAGCAGAGATTAAAAACTTGGAGGACAGTGTAAATTCTAAACTACCGAAGGACGGGGGCCGTGTCTTTGTTATCTTTTCTCTCAGAGAGGAACACAAACATTGTCATTGAATAGCAGGAGAAGGGAAGCTGAGAATCTAGTGAATACAGATACTGAACATCTGCTAAGAAGTTGCAAGCAATTTTTTTGAAGAGTTAGGAGGGTTCACAAGCGAGCAGAATTCATTCCTTTCTGCTTCCTCTTTACTTCCCTTCAGAACGAGGACTGTCTCTGGCAGTTGGCTTACTGACTGGATAAACTCGCGGCCAGTTATTACTCTCTTAGTTTCTCCACGGAAGAGTCATGTCTATCTGCCAGAGACTCTGGGTATGAAGCCAGGGCACGTGGAGAGGGCCCAGCTAGAGGTCCATTATTTTATTTATTTATTTATTTATTTATTTATTTATTTATTTATTTATTTTTGAGACAGAGTCTCGCTCCATCGCCCAGGCTGGAGTGCACTGGTGTGATCTCGGCTCACTGCAACCTCTGCCTCCTGGGTTCAAGCAATTCTTCTGTCCTAGCTTCCCAAGTAGATGGGATTACAGGCACGGGCCACCACGCCCGGCTAATTTTTGTTATTTGTAATAGAGAGGGGATTTCACCACGTTGGCCAAGCTGGTCTTGAACTCTTGACCTCAGATGATCCACCCACCTCCGCCTCCCAAAGTGCTGGGATCGCAGGCCTGTTCTGACGGCAGTGGCCGGTCACACAGCAGGTGAGAGGCCACATCTTACCATCTTACGTCAGACCCTCCGGCTGTGCTTTGAAATTCTTTGTTGTTGTTGTTGTTGTTATTGTGCATGCCTTGCTGCATCCCCAGGGCACTGACTCACCATCTCCAGCACGCACTCTTGGAGTTTTTCCAGTAGGTTGCATTGAATTGCAACCCTTTCGGCTCTGTGGAGGTCACCAAGGGGAGGACATTAAAAAATAATCCAAGGGAAACCACAAAGGAACATGAAACAAATACACACAAGCTGCATTTAATTTAAAAAATATTTATGAGACACGTTGCCTTTTATTTCTATAAAATGTCACCTAATAAATATTTTACCGCGATAATAAGGATGAATTATAATGATGGAAAAAGAACTTGGGTGGGGGGTGGGGAGTGGAGATGAGGAATGGAAACATTTTAAATTTTAATTGAAACTTCAATTCGTCAGACTTGGCCTCTGCATCACATCTTGAAAGCTAGCAGAGAGAAGAGAAAATGTCCTGTCGTGTGCAGACCAAGTTTCGAGTCTTGGCACACAGGCAGGTCAGTAAACAGAGGACCAGTGGCAGCGGCTCTTGATGACCTGAAGCAGAGGCTTCTTAAAAGTGAGGACGATGAGGGTGCAGGCCACCAGCAGGGTGAGGCAGCTGGGGAGGATGAGCACCAGGTAGAGCAGGCCCAGGTCCAGCCGCTCCCACTTACAGTCCCGAGGCACACCCCCGGGCAGCTCCGCCAGGCGGATGATCTTGGAGGAGAGGTTACAAGTGACTGTGGCCCAGTCGGCCACCGTCTGCCCCTGCTGCAGGGCCCCCCAGCCGTCCACCCCACAGCAGTCATACGGATTCTGACTGAGGTAGATGGTCCGCAGACCTCTCGAGAGCTGCTCAGACACAGCCTTCTGGGGAAGGGCTGTGAGCGAGTTTCTACGGAGATCCAGGGTCTCCAGGGCCAGGCTGCCCCCAAACCTTGGGAAGGTGGTCAAGCAATTTCCCGACAGGTCTAAGTCCCTCAGATTCCCAAACCCGGAGAAGTCCAGTGCCATAAAGTTGGAGTGGAGGCCCATGTTCCTGAGAGACAGGACCTGTAACATGGGGGCAACGTCCCGGAGTGGGGCGAGGCTCCCATTCAGAACCCCCCAGTTGCTTGAGAGGTCTAAGGAGGTGAGGGGGGTCCCTTGGAATGGGCAGTCTGGCAATGCCCCCAGCCCACAGCCCTCCAGAGAGAGGCTCCTTAAAGATGCCATATTCCTGAAATCCACACAGCTAGGGGGGCCCACCCGGTCCGAGGCAGCTGGCAGGGGACAAAGTGAGATCTGATTGTGGCTCATGTCAAGTGTAGTGATGTTCCTGGCGTTGGCGAAGAGGCCAGGGGGGACGCCCAGGAGCTGGTTGGAGCTCAGGTTGAACAAGCGCAGGCTGCCCAGGCAGCTGGCCAGCCCTGGAGTCAGGTGCAGCTCCGACAGCTGGTTGTGGCTCAGGTCCAGCTCGGTGAGTGCTCCAGGGGGCTCGTGCTCCCGAATGTGAAGCGTCATCAGGCAATTCTGGTTGAGGTTCAGGTGGGAGAGGGAAGGCATTTTCCTCAGGAAGCCATCTGGCAGGTACTGGAACTGGTTCTGGCTCATGTCCAGGAAGCGGAGAGCTGCGAGGTCGCTGGAGGAAAATTCTTCCCAGAGGTTGACGGTGGTGATGTTGGTCACATTGCCGTCCACAAGGAGGAACTGGGCCACCATCTCCCTTGGCGACGAGGTGTTGTACAGGTCCCTGTAGAAGCCCATGTTGTTGTCACGCAGCAGGAGGGTATGCAACTTGCTGTACTGCGGCAGCAGCGGGAAAAACAACAGCTGGTTGTGAGACAGGTCCAGCGTCTCCAGCTCAAACGCAGCCTCTCCCCCGGCTGCGAGGAACCACTCCAGGACATTGTAGCTGACGTTGAGAGACCGCAGCTGTGTGAGCCCGAAGTCCACAATGCAGGGGAGGTTGTTGTAAGCCAGGTTGAGGTGTCTCAGCTCAGTCAGGCCGTCAAAAGCACCTCCCTCAATCTCAAAGATGTAGTTCCTCTGCAAATCCAGCTCCCGGAGACGCTCCAGGCCCTCGAAGACGGAGTCATCCAGCCGCATGATGGTGTTCCTCGCCAGGGACACGGACTGCAGCGAGGAGAGGTTCTGGAGCATGAGGGCCGCCATGTCCTCCGTCAGGGAGTTTCCTGACAAGTCCAGCCTCTGCAGGCCTGGCAGGGTGTGGAGTGCCGCTGCCGTCTCTTTGTAGTTCTCTGAAAGGCAGTTGTCCCCCAGGACCAGGCTGCGCAGGTGGCCTTGCTCCTGGAAGGCGCCGCGGCCGATGCGTTCCAGGTGGCAGCTGTGCAGGCTGAGGCTCTCCAGGAGAGGGTAAGGCTGGAGGGAGTGATTCCACAGGGCCTTGAGAGGGTTGGCATCCAGGATGAGCGTCCGGGCTTGGGGCGGGAGGCTGCTGGGCACCGAAGCAAGGCTCTGCCCTCGGCAGTCAGTGTCTCCACCCACCTGCGGCCAAAACCACACTGGTCAGCAGGGAGGAGGCCCAGAGGCAGGCATTTATGCCCAGAAACTTAGTTCACTTATCAGACTGTCCCTGCAACCGCTGGGGATGGCTCTAGGGATGTTCATTTTCAAAACAGGATAGAAAAGGCCAGGCACAGTGGCTCGTGCCTGTAATCCTAGCACTTTGGGAGGCCGAGGCGGGTGGATCCCTTGAGGTCAGGAGTTCGAAACCAGTCTGGCCAACATGGTGAAATCCCTTCTCTACAGGAAATACAAAAAACTAGCCGGGCGTGGTGGTGGACACCTGTAATCCCAGCTACTTGGGAGGCTGAGGCAGAGAATTGCTTGAACCCAGGAGGCGGAGATTGTAGTGAGCCGAGATCGTGCCATTGTACTCCAGCCTGGGCGACAGAGTGAGACTCCATCTCAAAAAAAAAAAAAAAAGAAAAAAAAGGACTTGAGAGCTTTCACCATCCTGAATTGTACAGGGAAGTAAAGTGGGACTGCAGTGGAGAAGCGAAGAGCCAGGCGCAGTGCTGGGACTGGAGCCCAGGGCTCTGAATACCCAGTTCAGTGCTTTTGCTAAACAGGGCTCTACTCTGATTGTGCAGAATAAGGAGGTGGGAGGCACAAGGCCACCCAGGTCACACTGCGGAAAGCACACATGCCAGGATACTGTAATTCAGCCCCACGTTTTGCAAAATTGGCAAAGCCAACAATCAGCCACAGGATGTCATTTAAGTGTCTAGGACAAAAATGTTTTTTTTGTTTTAGTTTTTTGAGATGAAGTCTTGTCCTGTCACCCAGGCTGGAATGCAATGGCACGATCTCACCTCACTGCAATCTCCGCCTCCTGGGTTCGAGCAATTCTCCTGTCTCAGCCTCCCAAGTAGCTGGGATTACAGGCACACACATCACCATGCCCAGCTAACTTCTTTTGTATTTTTAGTAGAGATGAGGTTTCACCATGTTGGTCAGGTTGGTCTCGAACTCCTGACCTCAGGTGATCTGCCCGCCTTGGCCTCCCAAAAGGGCTGGGATTATAGGCGTGAGCCACTGCGCCCGGCCAGAAAAAAAGTTCTCAGTGGTAAGACAGAGGAGCAACGACATTCCTTTGTACACGTTCATCAGTAACACGAGGGCAGTGGTTGCCTGCAGTTGTGGGCTCAGTCCCAGAGGGCAAGTGCGGCAACAGGAGAAACATCCCGAGAGAGGAAGAAGCACAGGTTTGGAGGACAGACTCACGTCTGAGTCTCGGCTCTACCACCACTAGCATGGAACTTCTTGGAGCCTCGGGTTCTTTATCTGATAATTAAAAGAAAACCTTCCAGTAATTAAACATGGATACTGCACTGACATGTGGAAAGCTAAACTCTTCCATCACCTCAGTCCCTCTCTCAGAGAAACACCAGTCACCTTCTGTTCCATGTTTTTCTGGATCTTTCCTAAGATATTACCTACCTTTGTCTAAAAACAAAAATAAAACCATACTCTGCAAACTGTTCAGTAACCTATTTTTCTCCCCCTGTCAATAACATACGACAGACTCACTGCCTTGGCAGTACAAATACATTTGATCATGATCTTTTTAGGAAGCATATGCATTCACTTCATGAACAGCACAGTGGTTGAGAGCAGGAGTTCCAGGGCCAATGCTCCATGGCTCTGCTTTTGATCAAATGGGTGACCTTTGGATGGTTACAGAACCAAAAAAGACCTCCATTACCCTGCCTGTAAAACCAAAATTATACTCGTAATTTTCTCATAGGGTTTTTTTTTTTTCAGGATCAAGTACAACTGTTTACGTGAAACACATTTACTGTGCTTCATGAATGTTAGCTCTAATTATTAGGATGATCTAATTAAGTCATTTCCTACTGCTGAGCATTTGGGTTTCTCTAATTTCCAGATGAACATTCAAATGGATTTGCCAAGGTCTTTCCACATCCCCCCTCCCTCTTTGGTATTTTGATTGGGATTGCATTATACTTACAAATTACTCTGGAAGAGAATTTACTTTTTTTTTTTTTTCTGAGACAGAGTCTCACTCTCGTCGTCCAGGCTGGAGTGCAGTGGTGCCATCTCGGCTCACTGCAACCTCTGCCTCCCGGGTTCATGCGATTCTACAGCCTTAGCCTACCAAGTAGCTGGGATTACAGATGCCCACCACCATGCCAGGCTAATTTTGCATTTTTAGTAGAGGCAGGGATTTGCCATGTTGGCCAGGTTGGTTTCAAACCCCTGACCTCAGGTGATCCACCCGCCTTGGCCTCCCCAAGTGCTGGGATTACCGGCGTGAGCCGCCGTGCCTGGCCAGGTGTGTGTCTTTATGTGAGTGAGTGTTGCTCTTCTCCCTGTGTGGGGACTCACTGGAGAATGTCAGGGGCTTTCTTCACGCTGTGGGACGCTGTTTCTCCACAGCTGCTGCAGTCAGGGGTCACACCTCTGCAACTCCCAGTGGCCCCGCTGAAGTGATGTAGAAGGACCACATGGCCATCCCAGAAAAGCTTACCATGTCCACTTTCTTTCTTTTTCTTTTTTTTTTTTTTTGAGACGGAGTCTTGCCCTCTTGCTCAGGCTGGAGTGCAGTGGTGTGATCTCAGCTCACTGCAACCTCAGCCTCCCTGGTTCAAGCAATTCTCCTGCCTCAGCCTCCCAAGTAGCTGAGATCACAGGTGTGCACCACCACGCCTGGCTAATTTTTGTATTTATAGTAGAGACAGGATTTCACCATGTTGGTCAGGCTGGTCTCAAACTCCTGACCTCAGGTGATCCGCCTGCTTCAGCCTCCCAAAGTGCTAGGATTACAGGTGTGAGCCACCACACCTGGCTAACGTCTACTTTCTAATGAGGTCAAATAGATACTGTGATGAGGGCGAGTGAAGGGCACCCAGACTCTCCAATTCTCAGTCCTCAACTCGGAACAGCTGCAGGAAACCCACTCTTTGGGTTCCCTGGCAGCCAATTCTCTACTCCTGCCCACTGGGCCAGATAGTGTCAAGCAGAGGGTCTAGCCTGAACTCTGAAAGGCTATTCCTTTATCTCTCTTCTTCCTGTGCCTGGGAACCCCTGAATAACTACTGTGCAGTTAATCCTTTATTGCCTCTGTAAGAGAATGCTGGAGGTCAAACATAGCAGAGATTAATAATAATATGAGTGATAATGGATAAACGCATAGCACTTACTATCTACCAGGCACTGTCCTGAGTGCTTTACATGTATTAACTCATTTAATCATCAATCAACACAGCATGATGTTATTGGTAGATATTATTATTATGTATATATTCTACAGATGGAGAAACTATGGCCTAGAGGGCCCCAATGTCACTAGCTAAGGGTGGGGCTGGGTTTTAAACCAGGCCAGTCTAGCTCGTAACTCCTATGTCATACTGGAATATACTCTAGCACAGTGGTTATAGGTTACTACTAAAAGAGGTTAAAAACCATGACAGTTGGGTGTTAAAGATTAATCTGCTTTAAGAATACATATTTGAATGTGTTAGCCCTGACATCCAATTTGTCTTCCCAGTGCCTAGTATATAATATGGTTCAAGAAATGTTTATGAAATATGTGTTTCAGCCGAGCGCAGTGGCTCAAGCCTGTAATCCCAGCACTTTGGGAGGCCGAGACGGGTGGATCACGAGGTCAGGAGATCGAGACCATTCTGGCTAATACGGTGAAACCCCCTCTCTACTAAAAAATACAAAACACTAGCCGGGCGAGGTGGCGGCGCCTGTAGTCCCAGCTACTCGGGAGGCTGAGGCAGGAGAATGGCGTGAACCCGGGGGGCGGAGCTTACAGTGAGCTGAGATCATGCCACCGCACTCCAGCCTGGGCGACAGAGCAAGACTCCATTTCAAAAAAAAAAAAAAAAGAAATATGTGTTTCTTTCTTTCTTTCTTTTTCTGAGACAGAGTATCACTGTGTTACCCAGGCTGGAGTACAGTGTCAGCTCACTGCAACCTCTGCCTCCCGGGTTCAAGCGATCTTCCTCAGCCTCCCAAGCAGCTGGGACTATACGCACGCGCCACCATACCTGGGTAATTTTTGTATTTTTAGTAGAGACGGGGTTTTACTGTGTTGGCCAGGCTGGTCGTGACCTCTTGACCTCGTGATCTGCCCACCTCAGCCTCCCAAAGTGCTGGGATGACAGGCGTGAGCCACCGCACCCGGCCTAAATATGTGTTTCTCGAGCAGATTTTTGATATCATTGTTATATAGGTGAAGGAGACAATTACTAGAAATTTCTCAATTTTGACCCAAGTCTATTTTCACATATAGGCTGAAAGCCCTAGAGAAGGCACCCGTAAAGGCTTGGGTATCCACTCTCTGGGTCTTCTTAGCCTGAGCATGGTCCAGGCTGCTGCTCTGCAGTACAACATGGCAGCAAACCCTCCCTACAGCTATGTAAGCCTTAGCTGTCAACCCGTCCACAAACTCTGAGGCGGGCTTCTCCAGCCTTCATGCACCTCACCCAGAGATTCTCATACCATCAGTGCAGCTCAATCATTCAGTTTTTTGTTTTATTTTGTTTTTTTCTTTTTTTGAGACAGAGTCTCACTCTGTCACCCAGGATGGAGTGCAGTGGTATGATCTCGGCTCATGGCAACCTCCGCCTCCTGGGTTCAAGCGATTCTCTGCCTCAGCCGCCTGAGTAGCTGGGATTACAGGCATGCACCACCACGCCCAGCTAATTTTTGTATTTTTAGTAGACAGGGTTTCACCATGTTGGCCAGGCGGGTCTCGAACTCCTGACCTCAGGTGATCCACTCGCCTTGGCCTCCCAAAGTGCTGGGATGACAGGCATGAGCCACCGCGCTCAGAATTTTTCTTTTCTTTTCTTTTTTTTAAAGACAAGGTCTTGCTCCATCACCTACGTTGGAGTGCAGAGGCATGATCTCAGCTCACTGCAACCTCCACTTCCCGGGCTCAAGCCATCCTCACATCTCAGCCTCCCAAGTAGCTGGGACTATAGGCGTGTGCCACCACACCTGACTGATTCTTGTATTTTGTAGAGATGTGGTTCCGCCATGTTGCCCAGACTGGTCTTGAACTCCTGGGCTCAAGTGATCTGCCTGCCTCAGCCTCCCAAAGTGCTGGGATTACAGGCGTGAGCCACTGCGCCCAGCCTGAATCATCCAGATTTTTAACAAGTTGTTCTTGTTCTGGAAGGCTGCCCCAGGCTGGTCTCGGATGCCTCCTTTCCTCAGCAGGCGTGAGAAGGGTGGGGCAGGGACTGTCTTTCCCAGGCAGCAGCTTAAACTCCTGTGGCTAAAGGGCAGCTGCACATGGCACTGTGCTAGGCAGGCACAGAGTGATTCAGGCTCCTTCATTCTCTGCCCTTCCTGATGGACAATCCGTCAGCTTCTTCTGAATGGACCAAGCTTTGTCAGGACAGGAGCAACTGACAGATCAGGGTTCAAGGGAAAACTCACCAACTTACAGCCCCGTTGGGAAGCTGCTGTGGCCGTTACACTTCTGTCCCTCCAGTCCACTGTCAAGAACTGAAAACCCAGGCAGAGCCAAAGGGGCAGCAACTCCATCTCAAGGGCAGCCCTGTGGACAGAGAGCAGGGAAGAAGCAAGTCAGAGAAGGACATCCCAGGGGGCTGTTTGTATTCTCGGGAGAAGGAGCCAGTTCCAATTCTATGTGGTCTTGGAGCTCGATGGAGCTCACAGCTCCACAGAGGTGCAGCCCACGGGTTACTCAAATACCTCCATTTAGCCAAGACTTCCAGCCTTTCACTGAAACTGTTGACAAGGGCTCAATTTCATTTTGCCTCTACCGTTTGATGGACGGGTGGCTGAACACTAAACTTCACTGAGTCCAGCACAGAAGGGAGAAGCATAAGGCTTGAGTAACCAGGCCTCCGGTCACCTGGAGTTTCCCATATTTCGTCATTCTGCTGAAGTGTTCCTGCCTCCAGCTCCGGTCGGCCTGATGCATCCCGTGAGCTCAGTAAGTCCTTGCTGAGTGAGTGAATGAACAATCGGAGAGTGGACTGAGACTGGAAACGGATTGGAGCCCCTGTCCCACAGAGTTACTACTCAGCTGCTGATGTGAGGCTGACTTCGGTTAACTCATTTCACTATGACCCTTTGGAAAAAGAGGTTTGATGTTTTGCCTGGACAGGGGGAAAAATGGAGGGGAAAATGAAGAAGAAAACTTTGGATAGAATAAAGACGGTTAACGAAACGAGGTTGCCAGCCCTCTTGTCTGGCCGGTGCACACAGAACAGCGGTAATGAGGAGGCTTGAAGGTATACACACACCAGCAGAGATTCAGAACTAAGAGGAGCCAAAAAGGAAACGCAATATACTCATCACATGTGCCAGGTGAACAAAGGCTCAGAGACACTACTGGAGGTTGTCGATGGCCTTAGCGGCAGGGCTGAGAGCAGCCCCTGAGCTCCCCGAGCTCCAATGAGTGAGCAGGGCAGATGCTCCCAGCAGTGAGGCTGCACTCACTGCTGCCCTGCTGGGGACCTGACGCCTGGTGCACGCCCCCAGCTCTGCATTCTGCAGACCCAGCAGCAAGAGCCGGCCCCAGCATTCCGTCTGTCCCCTTCCTTGACACCCACCCGAGGCCCAGTGCCTGCCCTCCCATCTTCTCCTGGGCCAGCGGCACCAGCTCACCCCACCTGCTCGCTCCAGCCACTCAGGGGCCTCCTCTTTCCTTTCTTCACATGTATTTAGGGATCCTGAAGGCTCATTTTACCTTCTTGATCAGATTTGAATGCCCACCAGTGCAAACAGACTAACTGAAGAGCTAAATGAAACCGGGTAAGCCAGCTTTCACTTCAGGCCAGGCCAACTCCCCTTACTACAGAGAGAACCTCCAATGCGGAATTCACCAGAACTTGCCAGACACTGGGAATCCCCTTCCAGACCCACTTCTGCCTCTGCACCCACACAGGAATCACTACCCTGTGGCCGGCACAGGGGAGAGAGGGCAAAAGCAGAGCTGTATGGGTTCCTGACCTCAGGATCCCCCCAGCACCCTTCCCCGCCCCCACGCCCCTGAAACCTGGGATCACATCGCTGCCCACTATGAGATGAGGTTGCATAGTTTCAGATTTAGTAAATTACAAGGCATCATTTCAATGCTAGATACATCCTTATACCAACAAATTGTCTATCTGACATTCAAATTTCACTGGGCATCCTGAATTTTATTGAGGGAGATGGGGAGGTAAGAACCCTCCCTTCCTGCCTGCCCGCCTCTGTCAGGTGTGGGGTGGCACCCACTGCTGTGACTCCGATCTTTCTAGAACAGCCAGCCCTGTATATTGAAGAACTGAATCTAGATGTGTAAGGGGCAAGAGTGCAGGTCCTTCAGTGAGGAGGTAACCTTCAGACTGGAAGGCAAGGCAGGCCTCGCGTCACACTCAGCAACGGCATTTTCATTTATGGGTCATCTAGAATTTTGCAAGTTTAAAACATATCCTCTCCTTCCTCCTAAACTCAGCCAACTGGCCCAGAAAAACTCTTGCTGTGGCCCTGGGTAGCTCCTTCTGGCAGGAAGCAGCAGGATATCATGGGAAGATCAGGGAATTTGGAACTAAGCAGACTAGAGTTTGAATTCTGCCTCTGTTGTTTGTTATTTGTCCTTCAGGAATTCAAAGTCTCCAAGACTCGGAGAATCCATCTACAAAATGGGAGTAATGATAACTATTCCAGAGTTGCATGAGAATAAACCAGTCTCATGTACGTGAAAGGGCTTCGTAGCTGTAGAGGTAGTAACACAACTATTAATATTAATTATGACTTGTGAGTTTCAAACACCAGTGAGTTGACCGAGTGCTGGTTGTTCCTGTGTAATCTCCAAGGTAATTCAGCAGCTCCACAAAGTCTAAAATAAAGGCCTGAGTAATGTGGCTGGAAGGATGAATTACACCAACCAGATGTGTAAAAGGTATGCAGGAAGGTTCAATCAAAAACTACATTCATATTGCAGAGCAAGGCTAACTTTGGGCACAGACGACGGTGCTGGCTCACAGCAGTTTGTCCCCAGAGCCATGCCTTCCCCTTCCCTGCTGCCCTCGGTGTGGCAGGGCTCCGACTTCTGAAGGCTCTGAATCTCGAACTCTGCTGTCACCGGGCCTCCAGCGGTTAAGTCAACGGAAGACACTCCTAGGAGGTCAGAGGTCAGAGGGCAGAGGGCAGAAAGAATCCACGGTATTTCTCTCCCTTCCTCTCTGCCTTGGACAGAGACATCCTAGAGTTTCTTCCGCTGACCCCAGGCTCTGGTGACACCACCTCCTCCTCTTTTTGTTTTTTGTTTTGTGTTTTTGAGACAGAGTTTTGTTCTTGTTGCCCAGGCTGGAGTACAATGTTGCAATCCCGCCTCACTGCAACCTCCGCCTCCCCAGTTCACGCCATTCTCCTGCCTCAGCCTCCCGAGTAGCTGGGATTACAGGCGCGCCCCACCTCGCCCAGCTAATTTTTGTATTTTCAGTAGAGATGAGGTTTCACCTTGATGGCCAGGCTGGTCTTGAACTCATGACCTCAGGTGATCCACCAGCCTTGACCTCCCAAAGTGCTGAGATTGCAGGCGTGAGCCACGGTGCCTGGCCTACCTCCTCCTCTCATCCTCACCCTACCGAGTTAGGGTGAGGATAAGAAGCTTCCTGAAGCTGCTCATCGCTGTGTTGACTGTGTATTTGCTGATTTGCCTTCTCAGCCTCTTCCATCATGTGTTGCCACTTTCTTGCATTCAATATCCTCTGTTTTAAATAATCTGGGCAGTTTCTGTTTCCTGGTTGGACCTTGCCTGATACAATCATGTGAGAATGGTCATGACCCAGTGCTAAATTAGATGTAATGACTGTAAAGAAATAAAAGGCTTTCAAAATACTGACCACTGAGGTTGAGAAGCCCTCTTCCTAGAGTGTGTAGCTGCAGAGAGCTTCCTTAGAGCCATAGCACTGCAGAGTCCAAGGTAAACAATCTGCTTGCCGTATCTCCCTGCGAAATTCCATGACTCATCCCCTGCGAGTACAGGACTTGCTTCCTCTCCCCCTACACATCCTCAGGGCTGAGGGCCACACCACAGCGCCTGCAGCTGTAAGAGGGCATCTAAGCCAGCACGTGCCCAGCATCCCGGAACAGGTGGAAAGCCCAGGAGCTTCCCGAGGGGCTGCCAGCTGGTGAGTGTTCCGGGACCCTGAGTTGCCTGTTGCTCCTGTCTTGACAAGGTTTGGCCCATTTGGAACACTGCTGCATTCTAACTAGCTATGGAATGCTGTGAGTCTACTCCATAACCAACCTTGTCTATGAATATGTGGTGTTGCTTTTTAGGCAGAGAAGACAACATGGTTTTCAGCCTCCAGACCTGGTCATAGCAAGAAAGTGGTAAAAACATTCATTCATAAAAACAACATGAATGGAGGTTGTATTCTGCAACAAGAGAACACTGACAGTGAGGAAGAAGAACCTGCAGCCGCTGCAAAGAGTCTCCTTTGTTTTAGAAATTATGTTTCTTTGCGACCAGGTGCGGTGGCTCAAGCCTGTAATCCCAGCACTTTGGGAGGCTGAAGCACTTACATGGCACTTTCATGGTGTCTGTAATCTATGTAACCTACCTTCAAATGGCTCAATAGAGATGGTAAAGCAAAATATTACTACTCGGTAAATTTAGCATTGTACTTTCTTGTAAACTTTTCTGTAAGTTTTAAAGTACTCACATTTAAAAACAAGGAAAATGAAATAAATGTTCCTGAAAACAGAGGTAAAATTATGGTAATCTTTGTCCCCATATTTCCAGGAATTACTAACGCATCTTTTTCAAACACTCTTCTCATAAAGGTGCTTAGGAAACATCTGTCATGTTAAAAATGGAAATACAGGCCGGGCACAGTGGCTCACACCTGTAATCCCAGCACTTTGGGAGTCCGAGGTGGGTGGATCACCTGAGATCCGGGGTTCAAGACCAGCCTGGCCAACATAGAGAAACCCCGTGTCTACTAAAAATACAAAAATTAGCCAGGTGGTTGGGCGCGGTGGCTCACGCTTGTAATCCCAGCACTTTGGGAGGCCGAGGTGGGTGGATCACCTGAGATCTGGGGTTCGAGACCAGCCTGGCCAACATAGAGAAACCCCGTGTCTACAAAAATTAGCCAGGTGGTTGGGCGCGGTGGCTCACGCTTGTAATCCCAGCACTTTGGGAGGCCGAGGTGGGTGGATCACCTGAGGTCAGGGGTTCGAGACCAGCCTGGCCAACATAGAGAAACCCCGTGTCTACTAAAAATACAAAAATTAGCCAGGTGGCTGGGCACAGTGGCTCACACCTGTAATCCCAGCACTTTGGGAGTCCGAGGTGGGTGGATCACCTGAGATCAGGGGTTCGAGACCAGCCTGGCCAACATAGAGAAACCCTGTCCCTACCGAAAATACAAAAATTAGCCGGGCATAGTGGCAGGCACCTGTAATTCCAGCTACTCGGGAGGCTGAGCCAAGAGAATCACTTGAACCGGGGAGGCGGAGGTTTCCGTGAGCCGAGACCCTGCCATTGCACTGCAGCCTGGGCAACGAAGTAGGAGTCCATCTCAAAAAATA